TGACAAAAAACCCCATTGGTAAATTCAAAAAAAAAAATAATGAAAAAATGGGTATTTTTTACGTTTTGAAAAAAAAAAGGAAAACCTTTTCGAAAAATAATTGTTGCAAACTCTGTGAGTAAAACGCGCGGCGCTGCAATCACCGACGTCCCTCTTTCCCCGTTCCCATCGTTTGGCGGCTCTCTATTATCCCACGCGGGCGACACACATTATGATATCAAATATCGGGTGAGCGCGGCTTACGCGGGGCGGGTGCCACTGCCTTCCTGCCGGCCGGCCCGGCTAGCGGGTCAAAGGCACGCGGCGGGGCGGGGCCAGGAAATTGACGTCATGAATTACATTAGTCACGTTTACTTTGCGCGGTGGCGGTTTTAAAAACGTGTTGGCAACATAGGGTCAAGCGGGACTGCGCACACATACACACACTCACATACATATACACACACACACTCATCCCTCTTCCGTTCGCGAAAGGTTTCGGATCGAATATCGTGGTCCTTTCGGGGAGGACGGCGGTGGCGTTTCGTTTGACGTGTCGTTCCGTTTGTCGCTGTTTTCCGACATGAAGACAGAGGAAAGATTTTTCGACATGTAAACAGAAGAGTTTTCCAACGTGAAGCAAAGCGAAATAATTTTCCGGCAGAAAAACAGAAGAGTTTTCCAACGGAAGTGAAAAGAAATCCCCGTCAGGAAAACTGAAGAAAGCTCACACCACCAAGTAGGTAAGTCTAGGTTCTGCTCTTTTGGTTCGCAGCGTAAACGATTCCCTCTCGCAGCTCGCCACACTGGCAGGCGGAGGCAGGCGAGGGGAACACAACTGACTGCGCTACAAGTTAATCCTCGCATTGTACCGCCGAGTGCTTGTCTAACTACGCGTGCGATATCATGCGCGACTTCCCCCTCCCCCAGCCTCCCCTATTTTGCGAGAGAGAGAGAGAGAGAGAGAGAGAGAGAGAGAGAGAGAGAGAGCGCTGCAGAGGGGTTGCGGTGCGGAGGGGAGTGCGGCGCGCTCAGCTGGGGTGTCCATGCCGGCAATAGGATTTGATGCCTCGTATATGATACGTGTAACTAACTTAAAGACGTCGGGGGCGGAAGGTCCCTCTCTGTCTCTCTCACTCTTCAAAAGAGGGAGACACCTGTCACCCCGCCGGCCCCGCGCTCATTACCCGACAAATGGCGGCACAAAGAGAGGCCGAATTTCCATCCGATAAGACGCTAGATCGGCCCAAGACTCAGCGCAAGGCTCGGCGCAAGGCTCGGCGCAAGGCTCGGCCCTGGGTCCACACAAAGCTGGCAACTAATCCCCCTTAGTTGGCCGCCATATTACTATCTCGCCCCTCACTGCCGCCTCTCCCGCCCCCCGACGCCCCCTACAAAAGGCAGCCATTTCACTAATTGTGAACATAATTACCATTCTCTGCTTTCAGCAATTTAAGCCCCAAACGACAGTCCTAAATTGCTCCGTTATTGTTCCAGCGGCACAACTTTGCTCCTCGGGGCTTCCCTTTCCCTTCCGTCCTTGCCCGGCCCTTCGCCCTTCGCCTCCTCCTCGGCGCGTCCTTCGTCCCTTTGTGGCCTCGCTGCGCCGTGCTTGCGCCTCGCTGCGAGGCTAGGGCTGCGCGGCCGCTTCCGTGGACGCCGGTAATTGAAACACCAACCAGTCAATAGCCTCACGCTGGGGCTGCCGCGCCACGCCGCGCCACGCCGCGCCGGTGGCTTCCTCGGAAAAAGGCTTAGCGGTGATAGCGCTTCCAGCGAAAGCGGCGAGCTCGGCAAAGCGAGGCGGCCCTGCTTAGCGCGGCCAGCACCGCCACGTGTCTTTTATCCCTTTTCTCCACTTAGACCAGGTGCTTTCCGCGTTAGTTTTCTGTTCCCTCAAACAAAATCAAAGACGTTGAACGTGGTTTCTTTTTTGCTGGTCTTTCCCTCTCCACTCGGTCGCCACTTTTCTCGACTCGTTTCTCCGCCATCCCTCATCGCAGCTTCCCCCAATCAGCACCACCTATCTTAATGACTCTCCACCCTCATTATCACATTAGACTGGCGCGAAAGGGCGGCTACAATAGTCGCCAGACGATGGCGGTAATTTCCGCGAGCGCCCCCTGGGGCCCTTGCCCGGCTCTGGGGTCCCACCCCCTTCCCCCACCCCTTCTCCCCTCCCATTCGCCCGCGACCACCCCTCAGCCCAGCATGGTATCCCACTGGGGACGATTCGCGCGCGTGATTTTCAAATTAAATGTGGGCTGGTGGTTTATCGGCTCACTCTTTAGCCTGCGGTCGCCCACTCGCACCCCCTTTTGAGAAAACGGTTCTTTGAGACGCGTATTCAAATCTCTTACAGCGGCGTTTTCCCTCTTTGTATATGTAATTGCCAAATGGCTTTGGATTACGGCCATGCGGTGGGGTTCCAAACCAAAGTTTAAAATTTTTGTGTACCCAAATTTTTTAATTTTTAAACCTTTGTAGTACTATTTTTAAAAAATTTTCAAACCCCTGCAACACTTAAAATTTTAAATTTTTAAACCTTTGAAACACTTAAAATTTTAAATTTTTAAACCTTTGTAACACTTAAAATTTTAAATTTTTAAACCTTTGTAACACTTAAAATTTTAAATTTTTATACCTTTGTAACACTTAAAATTTTAAATTTTTAACCCTTTGTAACACTTAAAATTTTAAATTTTTGAACCTTTGTAACACTTAAAATTTTAAATTTTTAGACCTTTGTATTGTCTTACCAATTTTTTCTCAGACCATTATGGTTGAGCATTGAAAGAAATTGAGAGCGCTTAGTTTCCCTTCCCCTGCTAAGCGGCGTCTCCGGCCCGAGGCGCTGCCCCCACCGCCTTGCAGCAGATTCCGCTCACAAGGAGGGGGGGGGGGAGGCGCGGCCAATAGCAGATCGCAATTAAGCATAATTATGGCGCCGGATTAGCGCGGCGCTGATTGCTTCCAGGCGATAGGCTTATCTAGGCCCTCCGGCGAGGCGCCCCGGCCCGGCCCGCCCGGCCCACAATACCATTTCCGTCCCCGAGAGTCTCCCGCGGCCCCAGCCGGGGGGCCACTGCAAACTCCACGGCCCTTGCGCTTTCGTCGCTCTCTCTTTCTCGCTCACGGGGCGTCCCGCTGAGAGAGACAGAGGGATGGTCGTTCGGCAGCGGCCAGCCAGGTGCGGACGCATCGGAAATCAGATTACGGGTCGCGGGGCTGCGCACGCACACGATAGTAAACACGTATGCAACATTTTGAGCACCGGAAGGCACTACGCTGTGAAAGGATAACGAGGAAAGCAAACAAAAAAAGGGGAGGGGGGAGTGTGGAAAATGCGAGCAAGCGCTGTAATTAACCTGCGCCTTTATGATCTTAATGAGTCAATTCAGCCTCGCCTGCCTGGTTCGCGGCGCGGCCGCAAGATGGCGCCAAAGACCACTCACTGGCTGCGGCGCCTCCGGCCGACGACACTGCGGTAAAGGAGGACCTTTTTCCGCGAACGCTGCCACGCTATCCCACCGCCTGCTGGCTGTCGCGCGGGATTGGATTATATTTGTGTGGGCGGTGGACCATGAACTCTTGAGGCCCGACGGAGGGAGGTTGATGGGAGTGGGCGCTTTGTCACACACCATCCGCTCCATGCGAGTGCGTGTTTTCGCACAATTGTCCGAGGAAGTGTTGTAGCGAACGCAACAATCCTTGCGTGCAGACACTTTGCTGCAGCAGGCGTTGTTGCGTTTGGGCCTTTTGTTGGTTTTGCTGCCAATCACGGTCCTCGGCAAACAACAACAACAAGCCACTCGATGATAGGGACGCCAGCGCTACGGCCACTTAGCCGACGCCCGCCTCTTTTTTCCAAATTAATTCCGTCCAGGAAATTCGATGAATCATCTGCCAAACGGCCGATGACGCGTCAGCGGGGGGCCCCTCGGGGAAACGCCCCCGAAGCGCCTAGCCTCCCCGTCATGGCCGCGTGCGAATCGCACCGCCAGCTCACCTGCACGTCACCTGCACTGTGGAGGAAGACTCCGCCTTCCGGACGCGGCCCGGCCCCGAGCCCCGACTGGCGCCAAGGGGGCTGGGCGGGGCTGCCCAACACTCTGCACCCATTTCACGGGTCATCGGATCTCAAAGCCCAAATCTTGGCTCGCTGCGTGCGTTATGATGGGGCGCTGCACTGCGAGGCGAGGCCTGGGGCGGGACTGGTGGAGCGTTCCCGGAAAGGGCCCTTGCAAATCTCGTTAGCGTCATCGTCATACTCGGCACAACTTTCTTCCCCGGCCTGGCCGAGCAACGCGAACCAGGACCCTCTGTCAGGGCAGCGAGGCGGCTCAATCCAGCATAATGGGGCCTTGCGCGCCTTGCCGGGGGTCCGAGCACAACACCCTTACCCTCGCCGCGCCGTGCCACGCCGCGCCCTGCCCTCGCAGCGTGACATTTGAATGCGTATCTGGACTGGCCGATGCCGTGGCGCGTCGTCCACCTTCTGTATTTGGTATTCCAGTCTCGTGTTGGAAGCCAGTTTTCTTTTGTGTTGCCCTTTGCCGTTTTGTTTCCATTTTCTTTTTATTGATATATATTGCCCCTGCTTGCAATTATATTGGCAGGCCTAGAGAGGTGGGTTTAGTGTATTCTGATTGGCTGCTGGTTAGCGGAGTGGAGATATCGAGAAAGGTCCGAAACAGGGTTTCACAAGATTGTCTTATTTTTCTCGATTTACATAAGAATGCCTGGTCTACAGCTGGCAGGCTGGAGCTCATTAACAATAATAACAAATAAATAATCTTTTAAGCTATAACAAAACGTTTCACGGAAAGCTTGCACTTGCGCGCACAGTATAGTTCGGATCACTATGAAACACTTACAGTAAAGTCACTACGCCTTCTTAGTTTACAGGAACTTGGTTTCCGCCCGCGCACAGTGCTGGTCGTTGCGACGATGCTGCGGCTGCCCGGGTTGCCTCCTCAGCACAGCCCTGTGGCGGATAGGCAGCCCGACGCGGCACGGCGCTACAGGCGCGGTGAGGGCGGCGCTGGCGCGGAGCGCGGGGAAGGCAGCGGGGAGGCGAGCGCGGGGGACAGGGGGCCCTGCGAGGGCCCCTGAAGGGGCGCCGCCGGGGCCGCGCCGTGCAGGAGGTGCGCCATGGGGTGCCTGGCCAGCAGCGCGCTCAGCGGCAGTTGCGGCAGCATCTGCGGAGAAGATGATTGGGTCATGATTGGTCAGCCGAGGCCGCGTGCTGGAGATGACGCACCAGTACCTGGTGCTGGAAGAAGTGCGGCGCCGGCGGCACGAACATAGGGCCGGGCCGCACGGCCGCGATGGCCGCCATCTTGATCTTCTCTATCTCGGCTTCCTGGAGCCGCTTGGCTTTGGCGCGCCGGTTCTGGAACCAAATTTTCACCTGCGCGAACACCGCGGCCGGTTATTCACCCACAAAACACGCAATTTCACACTGGTGAACCCAGCGGCACGCTTACCTGCGTCTCGGTGAGCTGCAGCGACGACGAGAACTCGGCGCGCTCCGCGATGGACAGGTACTGCTTCTCCCGGAACTTCTTCTCCAGCGACAGCAGCTGCTGCGTGGTGAAGGGCGTGCGCGGCTTGCGGTTGGGCTTGTGCTTGCGCAGCGTGCAGCGCAGCTTGGGGGGCTCGTCGGGCGCGCCGGGCTCTGCGAACAGACGAAACAATTTGAACTGGTTATTCTGCTGTGACACTTCACCTGCAGCCCCCTTTTCCCACGTTGCTCTTGTTTTCGGGCTCAAGCAGGCACAGGAGGGAAAAATGATAATGCTGTGACTTCGAATCGGGCTGCTCGGCCTCCTTCATTATTCCCGATCTGGATTCCGCCTGGCTGCGCGCTGCGCCCGTCAGCCCGTCAGGCGCATCCTGCGGCGTAATTTGCCACCGACTAAATATCAGTCGGCACGGCACGCCACGGCAACGCATGGCGGCGCACCAGGCACGCCAGCCCGCAGCCCGCCCGCCGCCCGCGCCCTGCCCCCGCCCCAAATTTCTCGCATGCCGCCGCGAGACGGTATATCGTTATTTTATTTAAATGAAAAAGATGACGCTTTGTTTGTTATTGTGTTGTGGCGAGCACGCCCGCTCGCGTGTCAACGGATCGTATACTCGGGCGTGTAACACAGTGTCTGGGCCAAGCGCCGGGCTCGCGGCGGCGGCGCCCCCCTGCCCCCGCGGGGCCGCCCCGCCACTGGAGTAACCGCGAGCAGACCGTGAAAATACAGTCATCACGGCGGTGCCACCGCCCTCCGTCGGGGAGGACGCAGGTTCGAGCCCCGGTCCGTCCGTTCCGGCCTCGCCGGGCACCTCTGCACGTGGCCGCTTTCGCAACGAGCTTCCTGCGACCTGCCTGCGACGGACGCGCGGAGGGTCGCCGCAAACTTAACCCCACATCCTGGCGCGGAGACCTGGACGCGCGGTGCGTGTAGGGTTGCCTACCCGCCAGGCCAGGGCGGCCACCCTAGCAGGCCTAACCAAAAGAAGCTCTGGGTAGGGTCGGCCTTATCGGGCGTAATCGTGAGCGCTTTACTAACCCCACTAAGGGATATCCGCCGCCGCGTGCCCCAGGCGTGCCCCTCGCAAATTAAATCAAATGCGTGTTGAAATGCTAAGCGGGCTTGGGCTGCCGGCCCTGCCGCCCTGCCGGCCCAGCGCGGCCCTTGACAGCTTTATTCCCGTACGACACACAGGTGCCCGACTGGCCGGTCGGTCCCCCGCCGGCCTACAGGTGGACTTCTTCATTAACCACGTAATGCCAAGACCTTAAGAATGACCCCTCGGTGGGGGAAAACGCAGCACAGTTAGTGGCACAGGAAACACGGAATCGGACACAGAAAAGCATCACACTGCTGAAGAACCTCAGTTGTTGAATGAAGTTGACTGAAAAAAAAAAAAAAAAAATTCTGGTAAAAGTTAACGACTTCTCAAAACATTGGTAACGCAAATACGTGTAAAAATTATTCCATCCAGGACTAAAAAAATTTGCACAATCGATAACCAATGCAAAGGCAGCGTTGACCTGACTGTGCGTGACCGGCCTGCGCCGGGCTGCCCGGCTGCGCCAGACGGCATAATTATTGGCCTATTTTCGGTGTAAATTAGGAGCCGCGAACTGCCTTTAGCATAAGGGACGCGGCTTAGGGCTCCGCCACTGTCGGGCTGCGCCCCTGGCTCCGCCTGCCGGCCGCATTATCACAGAATGGAGCCCCGGAATGCAAATTCCCGCCTCTATTGCATAATAATCGCGGCGTGTATGTTTCATTGTGGCCGCGCCGGCCGCGCTGCGTTTGTAGCCGCCATTGTGGCCGGCAAGTTGGTCGGCCCGACAGAGCGCGGCGGCGCCAGGCAGCGCGGCATGCGGCAACAATTGGTCATTATGACCACTAATCCGGCAATAGAGTCACAGTCGGGCCGAGCGCCACCGCCGAGGGCCGCGCAGCCCCCCGGGGGCGGCGCCGCCCTGGGCAACCAGATCTAAAGCGCGCCAAAAAGACAAAGGTGGTTTTGGTCCGCAAATTACCTAACGCTGGTTGAGGACCTAGCCTAACCTCTCCTCCAACTTGAGGTCCCGTCTGCCAAGCCGTTTACACCCGCAACATGACGGACCGTTCTCAGAACGATAACCGACGATCCATTCCGGCAACCTGAAGTCAAACGCCGCACCGTTCTGATTTGCAGTCAGCTTTTTGAACCGTTCACCGGGCGAAAGTAGAGCGTTGCGGCGCGGCCCCTCGCGGGGCCCTGCACTGGAGAGGGTCGCGCGAACAATGCCCGGAAAGGCAGCCCCCCGCTACAATATCCGCCGCCTATTAACGTATTCCTCTTTGTGTTCGCCAATACTGCGTGGCCGCTCTAAACAAATGGAAAATGGAGATACTGCAGTTATTCGAGCAGCGCCCCGAGGAGGATGTGCCCTACACTGCCACGCCGAAGCGGCGCCCGAGTGGTAAGGGTCCCTCGAGCCGCCATCTTGGGTCCCGACGGTCGCGGGGAGCTGGCGCGTTCATTACAGTGGACACAGCGGATTTGTTGGCTTTGAAGGTTGCTGGTCGGTAGTATGCATGAGGCGAACACTGCGGGCGTTTCCCGTCCGCGCCTCGCTCGCATCACGGATGCGCGATTTCGTAATGTTGGCTGACCTGTGAATCACCTGCGGGGGGCGCACACACACAAACACAGAGGCATATACAACACTTCCGCCGGTCGGGTCATTGGACAGCAGTGGCCTGGTGCCCTTCGAGCGCGGGGGCGCGGGAAAGTTGAGGCAATCAATGTCACACACACACACACTCGCTCTCTCTCCCACACACATGACACCTTTGGAATCCCGAGCTGATTATGGCGAATGGCGACTGCGGCCATTCTGTCGTGCGAATAAGCAATGGCTTCGACGGAAGCGGCCGATTGGGAAAGGGACGGGGCAAAGCCCGGCAAAGCCCCTTCGGCGAGCCCACACACACTCACGCGCAACGCGCAGTGCGTGTGAATATGTGTGAATGGCTTCGGCGGAAACAAGGCAACATCTTGCTGACACACACACTCGCACTGTGCGAGAGTGTACGTGCTGCTAGGGGCCAGCCGATCACCGCGTCAAACCGCTTTTTTTTGTCGTCCTCATGGCATCGCACGGTGCCGGCCAGCCCTAACCTCACTTCTTGGCTTCTCTGCCCCTCCACCTGAAGAATGTCAACAAACTGCCCGGGAGTGCCACCACTCGCTAACAGCCGGCTAACAGCGGGAGTAAGTACGCCGCACTTCCATTGCGGGGCGGAGCGGCAGCGCGAGCAGCGCGACGTGGAAACGGCCGACACCGCCGCCCGCTCGCAGCGCGCAGCCCGCGCAGCCCGCGCAGCTATGCGGATAGGTCAGCCGAGGGAAAGGCAAGGCAGTGGCCAGCGAGCGATTACGGGCAGCGGCGTGGCGGCGGCGTGGCAGCCATGGCAGCGCCGAGCGGCCAGCCAACCAAATTAGCGGCGCACACTATTCGTGCCCACGCATTTGTCCCACTAAATCACGCTTTATTTTTACGGCGGCCGCTTTTATGCCACTAGTTTATCTCACGCCACCTGCAGCGCTCGCGGGGCCGGCTCCATGGCAAAGTAAGGGGAAGTATAAAATTAACGTGCTAATGCGGGCATTCCCCGGCGCCTAGACCAAGGCCCAGACACGCCTAGACCGCGGCAGACAATGCGCCTCGCTCGTTAGGTGGCAACGTGTGGCCGTGGGCGCGTCCGATAGAGTCCTCATGAGGCTGGGGCGAGCCAACAGATTCCAAGAGCGCCCCGCCAGAAGGGTAAAAGTCACCCGAAGGACGCCATACATTGTAGTACTGCGAATAGCGAAGTGTTATTTACAGTCCCGCTCTGCTGGGAATGAGCGTGGAGAGCGGTTCCGCCGGAAACTCGTGGCCGAAACGGCGCGCTGCTCGCAGGGCGAATAAGCCATTCGAATTATAGGCAGTAAACGGGTATCATTCAGCATCAGCGCCGCGTCAGGCCCAGGGCATGCGCGGACTTTTACACTCCTGCATGCGAAAGTGGCGGTGAATTAAGTCGTTGCGACGAACAGTCCGAGGCGCGGTCGCGCGGGCCGACCGCATCTTACTACCTACTCGCCGACAATTTGTCGCGACTTAGTGCCGCGCCGCTGTTTTATGACGCGAGTGGATTCCCCTGTCCGAAATAATTAGCACCGTTGAGCCGCATCGAGGCATTTGCACAGAGCGGAGCCAATTCGAGGACGCCGTTTTGGCAAGCGCCGCTGTACACGCCACGCGATTCTGTGAGCCCGGAGAGCAGGGGACGCAGATTAAGATAGACAGAGATACAGGCCGGCCGAGCCGAGGAGTCGAATCAGCGAGATAATCAAGGGAGAATGCAGGTGCGACGACGCTACCACCGGCACCGGTGCATTCTAATTGACTGCTGCGGTAAACTTGATCTCCCAGTCTCACCAACACACGCACAGTCGCACAAACACACGCGGCGAACGCGCGTGCCAGGACACACATACTGCGAGAGTCAATAAAGATCGCAATGCCAACTTCCCAAAACACGCGACGTATGCACGGCAATAAAAGCGTGGTGCAGCGTCGCGCTATCCGCGTGCATTCCAGCCGCTTGCAAACAAGGCGCTACCTAACCTCACTTACGCGCCGGGCTGCGCGGGCCAGCCTCGCCGGCCGGCCGGCCCAGACGCCGCGGCGACTCGGCGAATTCAGCAAACCTTGATGGCCTGGCCGCTGTTGCCTCCGCAGAGAGTTACGCGTCGGCCGCGGCGTGCCGACCGATTTATGGAGCATTAACACGCATTGCAACAACGGTGTAAAGCGTGCCGCGGCCGAATGCCGGCGCCTTTTTGCGGTGGTATGATCCGGCGCGCGTTTCGCCGAACGGAGGCAAATACTGCCCATCACGGTCAGGACAATGTGGGCCGTTAATTAGGGCAATATCACCCTCGTTAGCGTGTGTGTGTGTGCACCGCCATTTTTTTTTATAAGGGCTACAACTTGTCAATGACATGGCAGGAAATTTAGTGTGCGTCTTCACAGAGACGGGTGTATCACTGCGCTTGCTGCGCTCTCTGATTGATTGATTGTCTGGAGACTTTATCCTTCTGCAGCGCCATTAATTGGACTCGGTCCAAAGA